GGCTTCCCCACTGACGCCCCAGGGTGGCAGTTTTACCACCCCTCCTCTCGTCGTGTTCTGTCCTCCCAGGACGTCACGTTCGACGAGTCAGTCCCCTTCTACCGTCTCTTCCCCTACCGCACTCCTTCCCTCCCCCCTCCCCCGGACTTCCTTGTGCCGGTTCCCCCCCCGGTAGACCCCCTCCCCCCTCAGGTTCCTGCCCCCTCAGGTGTGTCCCAGGTAGACACCGTTGACCCGGTCGAGGTTACTGGTGACTCTGGTGCTGCTGCAGGTGCTGAGCCTGGGGGTGCTGACTCTGGGGGTGCGTTGCGTGGGGGTGCTGAGCCTGGGGGTGCTACTGCTGGGGGTGCTGGGCCTGAGGGTGCTGCTGCGGAGGGTGCGGAGCCTGGGGGTGCTGAGCCGGGGGGTGCTGTGCCTGGAGGTGCTGGGTCTGGGGGTGCTGAGTCGGGAGCTGCTGAGCCTGGGGGTGCTGAGCTGGGAGCTGCTGAGCCTGGGGGTGCTGCGTCTGGAGCTGCTGAGCCTGGGGTTTCTCCTGCTGCTGCGTCTCGCCGGGAGCCCCTCTCTCCGTAGGAGCTGCGCGAGTGGTTCGCTCGCCGCTGGAGGCGTGCTGCTGAGTCTGGAGGTGCTGCTGGAGCTGGAGCTGGAGCTTCTTTGACCGTCAAGGGTGCGGGTGCTGCCGGTCCCGGAGCTGCTGGATCTGCTGGTCCTCCTGGAGCTGGAGCTGCTGAGGGCGTTGGTGCTGAGCCTACTGCTGTTGGTCCTGCCGCTGGAGGTGTGGGTGGCGCTGGTGCTGTCGCTGAGGGTACTGGTGCTGTTCCTGCTGAGTCTGGAGCTGCCGCGCGGCCTCGGCCGTACTACGTCCCGCTCCTGCAGCAGGTTCTTGGTCTTTCTCCTCCAGTAGAGGGTCCACCGCCTGTCCAGTCGCAGTCCCTGCTGGAGCCTTCCTCTCCACTGCCTGCTCCCTCTCCTTACACTGGTCCTACTGGAGGTCTTGCTGAGCGTCGTGAGCCTGCGTCTCGTCCCGCGTCGCCTGTTCGTGCTACTCGCGCTAGTGGTCGCAGTTCGCGTCAGCGTCCTCCTCCTGTCCCTGGCACGCACCGGATGTCTTTGCGTCCGTCCACTGCTCCTCTGCGTGCCCCTTTGCCTTCTCCTCCTGAGTCCTCTCTTCCTGCGCTTGCCGACCCTGAGTCGGACTCTCTTCGTGCTGCCAGTCCTACTGTCACGCGTCTGCTTGCTACTGTCGTCACTGACCCCTCTTTTGAGTCCACTGCTGCGTCTGCTCTAGTCGCTGAGCTCGTCGACTTTGCTGCTCGCTGTCGTCTCGACTACGCTGCTAGTCTTGTTGCTGAGTCTGCGTTTGTCTGTCCTCCGTCCGTCGGGGGTGAGTGTGCTCTTGGCACGGACGTCCTAGAGGACAGGCAGGAGGAGTTACAGTGTCTAGCGGCTGCTTCACCTCATCTCGCGTCTGTACTGCTTGCCCCTGAGGGAGACCCGGATGCACTAGACATCCCGACTCCGCGTTCTTACGCGGAGGCTGTAGAGGGTCCCTACTCCTCTCAGTGGCAGGCAGCTATGGATGCAGAGATGGCTTCCTGGAAGTCCACAGGCACCTACGTTGACGCAGTTCCCCCTCCTGGGGCGAACATCGTCAGTGGCATGTGGATCTTCCGGGTGAAGCGGCCGCCGGGCTCTCCACCTGTCTTCAAGGCGCGGTATGTTGCTCGTGGCTTCAGTCAGCGGCAGGGAGTTGACTACTTTCAGACCTTCTCTCCCACCCCGAAGATGACCACTCTTCGGGTGCTGCTGCACATAGCCGCTCAGCGCGACTACGAGCTTCACTCTCTCAGAATCCCAACCACTAGACCATTGGGATAAAAGGGCTTGTTTCAGTAGCGGGTCAGTGCGCCCATAACCCCCCAGGCAACCGTGCCTGTAACCCTTCCCTAGGATCAATCGGGGATCACCAGTGGACCTCTGACACCCCCCCGCACTGGGATGCCCGAAGTGCATACACCAAGATTCGAACCCGAGACCTTCGCTCTGATACCATCTCAGAATCCCAACCACTAGACCATTGGGATAAAAGGGCTTGTTTCAGTAGCGGGTCAGTGCGCCCATAACCCCCCAGGCAACCGTGCCTGTAACCCTTCCCTAGGATCAATCGGGGATCACCAGTGGACCTCTGACACATGCAACCATCCGGAACCTCCTGAGCGCAAGCAAGGCATGCCGACCAGTCCCGGTCCGCCACGTGGCCAGAATCACTGGCATGCTCGCATCGATGGGTGTCGCACTTGGCGCGACAGCTCGCGCATTCAGCCATGCTATGTTACAAGTGATGGTTGACGCACCGTCATGGAAAAGCAGCGTCGTTATCCCCCGATCTGCAGCAGAAGAGCTCCAATTTTGGCTCGAGGAGTTCGACCGTTTCAACGGCGCACCTTTTCACGTCAAGAACAGCTACGACGCGGTAATCCACGTGGATGCCAGCTCTCATGGTTGGGGCGCCACTCTGACCACATTTCCGGGTGGCATCGAAGAAGCTAGCGCAACCATGTCAGAGCCGCTACGAGGAACGTCCAGCACGCGACGGGAGATCGAAGGCGTCCTTTGGGCGCTAGAAACGTACGCGAACAAGATCAAGCAAAAACATGTTCTCGTGCGGGTGGACAACCAGGGCGTATTCTTCATCCTTCGCAAAGGCGGCTCTCACAGCCCCGACCTCACAACGGCATGCAAGAGCATCATCCGAACATGCATGGCGTTTGGCACGCGCTTGATCATTGAATGGATTCCGCGCGAGCTCAACACACACGCCGACGAGCTTTCAAAAATGGTCGACCACGACGATTACGCGCTGAAAACGCCGTGGTTCCGGATCTTGGAACGTCGTTGGGGTCCTCACTCCATCGACCTTTTCGCAAACTCCCGCAACACCCAACTGCCGCGCTTCTGTTCAAAGATTCCCCACCCGGCAGCCATTGCAGTTGATGCGTTCTCGATCGCGTGGACACCTGAAAACAACTTCGCCTTCCCCCCACCTCAACTGGTCCCAGCCGTCCTCCATCACGCACAACGCACCCATGCATCACTCACACTGATAGTTCCGCACTGGCCAGGCGCAAGCTGGTGGCCACTCTTGCAACCCTCCCCACGCACTTGGGCACCACACATCCACGCGCACATCCCTCTGACACACGGAAGCCAATGCCTAGACGTAGGGTCCCATTCAACTGCTTTTTTGGGCATGGGACTACCGCACAGCCCAATCATTGCACTGCGAGTGGCATTTGACTAATTCAAAATATATACACCTTGTGTTCAGATTTGCTCCCAAAGTTACACGACCAACTGATCAACATGCTCGCGCAGTCCCGCGCCGATTCTACGATTCGGACATATGAACCATACTGGGCCAAGTTTCGAGCCTTCTGCACAAAAGTGAACCTTCCATTCCTCCCGGCATCCGACATGACCCTCGCGCTATACCTGGTACACGCAATCCGACGCAAAGCCACCCTGTCCGTAGTGCAGCTAACCTGCTCGGCGGTCAGCTTCGCCCATCGCATGACCGGGAGCAAATGCCCGACAACCGGACCGTTCACCACCCAAGTCCGTGACTATGCAAAGCGACACTGCCCACGCCCTACTCGTCTGAAGGAACCCGTCTCGATCCAACAAGTCCAGGAAATGGCCGCGAGCTACTTGCAGTCCGACGATCCTGCGCAATTTCAGAAAGGGTTGATACCCATCCTCATGTACTCCGGATTCCTGCGATACTCTGACCTAGTAGCCATAAAATGGCAAGACATCCAATTCGACGACGAGGTCATGTGGATTCTCATACCACACTCCAAGACCGATCAAGCTGGTTACGGCACTTGGATACCCATTGCAGCAACGGCGGACCCCTGCTGCCCAGTGCGCTGCACCCGACGCTTCATCCGACTCGCTGGCTATGGCCCACGGTCAGAGGGACCATTGATTCGTGTCTTCGGTCACGGTTCAACCAGCGAGGGCCAGGCTAGGCCACCTTCATACACTACGATCCGGAACTGGTGCAAGGAAGCCTTCGCAAAGGTTGGCCTTGGAGAGTTGCAGCTAGGCACCCATTCTTTCCGAAAAGGTGCAGCCACAGTAGCAGCCAACACGGGAGTGCCAAACAGAGTCTTCAAACGGCTGGGCAGATGGCGAAGCGACACAGCAAAGGAAATGTATGTTACGCCATACGTCGAGCCCCTCATCGAAGCCTCCCGTACCCTACAAGATTCGACGCATGCGGTGTCATCGGCGCAACACACAGAGGCACTCGTACGCAACCGGAGGCCCCCGCTGCCCATGTCTCAGAGACCCCATTTGTAATGAGAACGATGCCAATTGATAAGAAAGAAAGCAAGCTTTCTCAATATTATAATTTTTAAACACACATGTAGTGTTTTTTAAAATTGTGTATTGTGAAAGCGAAGCTGCTTGTACTGCACAATTGGCATCGTCGAAGCGCGCTAAACGCCCTTCTCCAACTACAAAAACCGTGGGTTGGAGCTCATTTCCCTCCACCCACGTTTCTCAATTTTCAAACGGCTCACTCAACATTCCCACCACCCACCCCAGTGTAAACCGCCTTGCTAATGCCACTTGGATAGGGTACATAATAGCTAGTGTTAGTAGTCCGCACTAGCTTATGTCGAACGATGATGCAAATGTTGTAATACGCCATTTGTAATGAGAACGATGCCTTTGTAATGAGAACGATGCCAATTGATAAGAAAGAAAGCAAGCTTTCTCAATGGTAGTTTTTTAGTATGTTATTGTAATGACATGTGCACGGACATATGCAACTATCCCCAAACCACGTGCATGTAACACCGAATGTCGCCACACGGCGTCGCATCACCAACCCAAATTAGTACCTGGTTGCGGCAAGGCTAAACAGTGTCTTGGAGCAGCTTGCAAGAAATGCTGAATTAGTGAAGCAGAAGCGCTTTGGAAATAGAGCAGCTTCAATGCACCGATGCCTGGAGAGCAGCAAAGGCGTCTTCACAGCAGCGCATGAGGAAGGCTGGATCCGGCACATTCTCCCTGATGGCTGAGAGGACTATGTGTGCCGCCCCATTGTATGTCTGGAAATGCAGCGTGAGTGCCTGAAAAGGGGGGAGGGGGAAGAGGGAGATAGAAGGTAGGGGGGGGGATTGTGGTAAAAGGCTGGATCCGAAAGGTTCTCCCTCACACCTGACAGCACTATGTGTGCCGTCCCATTGTATGTCTGCAAATGCAGCGTGAGTGCCTGAGGGGGAAGGGGAAGAGTGATTGCTGGGAAAAGTATTATGTGTGCTGCCCCATGGCACATCACTCTCACATCACATGCACTCATGACACATCACTCTCACATGCACCCATGACACATCACTCTCACATCCACCCATGCCACATCACTCTCTCATGCACCCATCATATATCACTCCCACATGCACCCATCACACATGTCTCACATACACCCAGCACCCATGACTCACACACATACACCCAGCACCCACAACTCACATACACCCAGCAGCACCCACAACTCACATACCACCAGTACACATGACTCACATACCACCAGTACACATGACTCACATACCACCAGTACACATGACTCACATACCACCAGTACACATGACTCACATACCACCAGTACACATGACTCACATACCACCAGTACACATGACTCACATACCACCAGTACACATGACTCACAAACCACCAGTACACATGACTCACATACCACCAGTACACATGACTCACATACCACCAGTACACATGACTCACATACCACCAGTACACATGACTCACATACCACCAGTACACATGACTCACATACCACCAGTACACATGACTCACATACACCCAGCCCAGCACCCACGACTCACGTACACCCATGACACATCACTCACATCAGCCATGTGTACTGGTGGGGCTGATGCGCTCGACGGCATCGATGGCTGATGCGCTCGATGGCATGCCCCCCCGAGGCTGACCCCCGCCACAGGCCCCAACAGCACCTCGTGTGCAATCATCGTCCGATTACTCATGCACCAATCACACATGATCACTCAAAAGTCACCTCATTCCCATCACACATGGCTCACATGTGGCTGTCCCAGGACGGCCGGGCTGATACGCTCAATGGCATGCCTTCCCATGCTCACCCCCTCCACCGCCACCTCGCATGCACACATGCACTCATCACACATCACTCACACGCACCCATCATCCATCACACATGACTCACATGTGGCTGTCCCAGGACGGTGGGGCTGATCCGCTCGAAGGCATGCCCCCCCAGGCTCACTTCCTCCACGGGCCCCATCATGTTGGAGAAGGAGAGGGTTGTCTGGTCCAGCAGGCGTCCCATCAGCGTGCACGCTGACTGGAAGGGTTTACCGGAGGGTTAGAAAAGTTTAGAGAGGGTTTACAGGGGTTTAGAAGGTTGATGTGCTCGATGGCATGCCCCCCAAGGCTGACCTCCTCCACGGGTCCCATCATGTTGGAAAACGAGATGGTCGTCTGATCCAACAGGCGCCCATCAGGGTGCATGCTGCCTGCGGGAGTTGAGAGAGGTTTAAAGGGGTGGAAATAAGGTATGTGCTGAGGAGACAAGCCTCCTCCATGGGACCCATCATGTTGGAGAAGGAGATGTGCCACAGGCCTCCCAACCTGAGGTGGCGCAGGCGGTGCATCAGTGCCCTTGCTGCCTAAGATTGCAAAAAAGTCGAACCGAGCGTAGTACAAGAGAAAAAAAAAGGGGGCGAGCGAGCACAAGTCCCTACATTGACACTGAAATGAGCCCCCAGTGGCTTTTGGGTCGATTCAAAAGCCACCTCAGCGAGACACAGCTTCCCATCATGCCAGCAGTAGCAAGGACAAGCCTTGCATTGAAATAACTGTAATGAGCCTCCAGAGACTGCCGTTTGGATGCACACATGCTCGCCACCATGCGCAGCCTTTTGCGGCGCCTCAAAGGTCACCTCAGTGACACACAGCTCACTCACCTTCATGCCGGCAGTAGCGAGCACGAGTCTCGCATTGACATAGTTGTAATGAGCCTCCAGAGATTGCCGCTTGGACGCACACATGCTCGCCACCATGCGCAGCCTTTTGCGGCGCCTCAAAGGTCACCTCAGTGACACACAGCTCACTCACCTTCATGCCGGCAGTAGCGAGCACGAGTCTCGCATTGACATAGTTGTAATGAGCCTCCAGAGATTGCCGCTTGGACGCACACATGCTCGCCACCATGCGCAGCCGCCGCTGCTCCACCTCCCCTGCTGCACCCCCTTCTTTGCTCTGCACCATTCCCTCCGCCTCCCCTGCCGCCTGCTCGCTCTTGGGGATTCCATTCACCCCTTGCGTGCCGTTGCTGCTCTTGCTGTCGCTGCTGCCGTTTCTAGTCGGCAGGCCGTTGGTGAGTACCGGCGAGTGCACAGGCAGGGGCAGCAGGAAGGTTCCGAGGCAGTTGCCCCAGCGCGCCTTGGATCGACCAGCAAGCATGGAGGATATTTCCTGGAAGGGGGAGGAGGAGAGCGGAAGGAAGGGGAAAAGAGGGGAGATCTGGTGAAGGGGAAACAGCGTAGAGCAGTAGGAAGGTTCAGAAGCTGTTGATACAGCATGGCTTGGAGCGTCCGGCAGGCATGGAAGTCATTTCCTGGGAGGAGGCAAAGGGGAGGAGGGGAGGGGGGAAGTAAAGGAAAGGCTAGAGAAGAGAAGGTTGGAGGAAAGGGAAAACAGAGTGGAGGAGCAGCACAGGAGGAGAAGGTGGGGTTGGAAGGCTTGGGGTTGGGTGGGATGAAGGTGAGGAAGAAATTTCAAATGAGCTGAGGAATAGAAGGTAGACGTGCACACAGTGGTGTGCGGTGCGGCATGGTGCAGTGCGGTGCATTGTGAAGATAAAGCATCATTGTGTGAGGGTGGATTGACTCAACGGCCCTTTTAACCACCAGCTGCCTGGCACTGCTACACCTGCCAGCCGATTGCCAGGTGTGCCCGAAGCTGGTAAATTGGAGTGCAGGCTTTCCTGGGGGAGGTTTACCTGAAGCTCAGGCGCTGGGCGGATGTTTACAATGCAGATGGCGTTGCGAATGCAAACACAGGCAGGTAGCGGGTAGGTGGCAACTGGGGTAGGTAGGTCAATGTGAAGTTGGTAATTTGAAGTGCCAGGCTCACTGGGGAAGGTTTACCTGAAGCCCAGGCGCGGGGCGGATGTTGACAACACAGACAGCGCTGAGGCGAACAGTGGTAGGCAGTGGGGAGGTGGCAACTGGGGTAGGCTCTACTGTAAGCAAAAAGGGAGTAGCATCAAGGAGGGTGAACAGGAGATTAGTAAGAAGAGAAGGAGTGGATGGTTGGTTAGCAGAGGCAAGGGGTACGGTTGTGAGGAGTTGGCAGAGGGAGAGAGAGTGTATGTGATGCGTGAGCAGTCGAGCCCTGGTGAGTGCATACCATGCTCCCACTCACCTGCTCTTTCAGCTGTCATCACTCATCATGCTTGAGCCTACCTGCTTTCTGTGTTTGGTGGTCGTGGTGGTGGCGAAAGAAACAACCCTGCCAAGGCAATGATGCAATGCGTCTAGCTCACCTGCTCTCTCTGCCTGCTGCTCGTGGTGGTGGCGCAGGTAACGGTCGAGTCCCCCTGAGATTACCGTCACCATCACATCGTTGATGGTCTGACGGGGTGTGGGACGAAGGGGATGTGAGAGATTTTTTAATTGGCTAAAAAGTCGTGTTGGTGGCGCAGGTAGTGATCGAGACCTCCTGCGATCACCGTCACCATCACATCGTTAATGATCTGATGGGGCATGCGAGGGGATGTAAAAAGGGACGTGGAACGCCGGGGATGTGGAAGGGGAGGTGGAAGAGGGGGGATTTGCAAGGAAAGGAAGTTCGAGCATGCAATCACAGTGACGTCGTTATTTGTTCAGGGTTTAAGGTGTGAGCCACAGACGGATGCGTTACAGACAGAGTGATATTGCAATCATGGTGACGTCCTCATATATTGCCAGGCGCACAGGACTCACCGCACCAAAGGCTCGTCTGACCCTCGAAATGTCAGTCAGGCTCATCGGCCCACTCACTCCAAACACAAACCTTCCCCCTCCTCCATCTCCACTCCCATCCCCTCCCACAGCATCCCCTCCCCCAGTCTGCACCTCCCCTCTCCCCTCCTCCGGGTGCTGCAGCACGGCACTGCTCCCTTTTCCGCCTTTCTTCTGCGCGCCACCACTCCCCGACTTCATCTTGACACAGGTGGCAGTATCAGCGCGCCACAGCAGCACAGCCATGAACGTTGACACGTGCCACAGCGTGTTCCCCAACACAGCTATCACTTGCCACATCCACCTCCCCACACCCACCAACCCTCCCACTCCCCCTCTCTTTCCTGCCGCCCCTGCCCCTTTCCCCATGGCACCCCCACCACCCGCACCCACACTCCCACCCGCATCTGCTGTAACCCTTTCTGAAGGTACTGCTGCTTCTGCTGCTGCCTGCCCGACTGGGTCTGGGGCAAACGGCGATTCAGTCATCGAGTCAAGCGTGAATGCCGATGCTGCAGACGGCATGTGTACTTTCCCGGGCTTTAACTGTTCCTTCTCGGGCTCTCCCACGTCATCCAGCTGCTTCCGCAGCTCCTCACTCTCCTCCACCTCCACCGCTGCAGCTGCAGCTGCACTGCTGGGCTGGGAGCCGGTCTGGCGCTTGGCGGTGGGGAGGGTGGGCAGGAGGGCGGAGTTGTCGGTGCGGCGGGTGCAGGCGAGCAGGAGAGACATGAGCGACACGCCGTCGCCCATGGAGTGGTGGATGCTGCGTCGGGGGCGACGGGGAAAAGCAGGAAGCGGGATTGGAGAGAGGCGAGCAGAAGAACGGTGGGTGGGAAGAGGGAGCTACAGACATGAGCAACACCTGGTCGCCAGAGTGATGGATGCTGCGAACGGGCAGGAGAAAATGGGGGGCAACGGGTGGGAGGGAGGGGGGCAAGGGGAAATGAAAAGCGGGGGCATGGGTAGGATTGGAGGGAAGAGGTAATACGAGACATAAGCAACACTCCGCCACCCAGGGCGCATTGGAGGGCTGCGCGTTGGTGGGGTGGGGGGAGAGGAGGGTGGGCGGGAGGAGGTAAGGGGGAAAGGGGGGGCGGGAGGAGTTAAGGGGGCACGGGATCTGGTAGGGTGGGCAAGGAGAGGGAGTTGGAGACGTTTGAGACACTCCGTTACCCAGGGAGTGGTGGACGCCACTCATGGCGGGGAGGCATTGTTTGTTTGAGGGAGAGAAGGGGGAAGAGGTGGAGATGGAGGAAGGGGAGTTAGAGACATGAGCGCCCCTCCACTCCGTCGTCCAGGGCGCAGGTGGATGCTGCGCTTGGGCGGGAGAAGTGGGGTGAGGAGATGGACGGTTAGGAGGGGTGAGAAGAGGGAGTGTGCGCACGTTCTGCCAGGAAGATGGGAAGCGTGTCTGCAGTACAGTACACACGACATTTGCGAGAGCGTACAGTGCAGTTTTCTTAACTAGACTAAAAAGTGACCAAACGTGTCTGTTATTTATATCCATGTCTTCTGCGAGCGCGTACTAGCATCGTACAGGAAGAGAGCAGCCGAGCGGCTGTGAGGCAGAAGCACGAGGTGTACGCGCCAGAGAGGGCGGGAGGCGTCGAAAGGCGGCTGGTGCTGCAAGCGCCGCTTGTGCCACTCCATGCTCCCCGCTTCGAAGCACGCCGACTACCACCTCGCGCTTACACAATCGTCAATAATTGCCTGTCATACACAAGCTATCTGTGATGAGCTAACAGATGGCTTCGTACCGGAAGAGAGCAGCGGAGCGACCATTGGGCAGAGGCACAAGGTGAACGCGCCAGAGGGGGCGGGAGGCGTCGAAGGGCGGCTGGTGCTGCAGGCGCCGCATGTGCCACTCCATGCTCCCCGCCTCGTAGCACGCCGAATCGCACTTCGCGCCTCTTGTTTCTTCCGCCGCCGGCCTTGCACCTCCTTCCGCCGATTCTGCCTCTCTTGCAGCTCCTTCCGCGCGCGCTGCTCCCGCGCTACTGTCCCCGTTATTGTCACATCCGTCAGGCGGGGTGCCTTCCACGACGTGGTAGGCCATGTCGACGGTCGTCCGCACCCACACCTGCTCGCCGCCCTTACAACGGCCACGGTGTTCCTGCGACACGAGGATGACGTTACGAAAACACAGTAGCGCGTAGAGAAATGACTTGGTGAAAAGTGATGAAATGGATGGTGGAAAATGGCATCGCGCGTTTCCCGTTTGGAACAGGACGCATGACTCGACGGGTCGAGCTCTATCTGTGTAGCGGTCTGAAATGGGACGAGTTGATGGGATTGGCCGAGCAGAGTGGAACTTTCTGTCTCCAAAAGTGGGATGCATAGGTCCCCAATCAAGGCGTGGTAATGGAACGAGCGAATTGGGACATAACGGGACTGTAGAGATTGGGAGCGCGTCGTTTCGGGACGGAAAACCACTACACCTCTTTTCCACTCCGCTCGAGGGGTGTAATTCTTCGTTCATCTACCAAGATCCCAGTTTTAAACAGAACTCTTTACCATGCGACTGTGAAAGCGAGGATGCTTCAAAAGGGTATCCGAGAGAATCGTCCTAAGCTCGTCGATCTCCATGCGGTCTTTAAACTCCAGCGCGCACAGGACGGTCGTGTAGAACTCGTCAGAAAGGAAAAAACGAGCCGTTGGTGACAGCGGCTCGGCATCGCGTCTTTGCTCTTTCGGTTGCAATGTCGCGTCTGCTACGTCGCTCTCAAGCTTGACCTTCACCGGCGGAAGCTTCGGGTTATCCATTTGCAAAATGCAGGGAAAAAAAAGGGAACTTGGTCGAGAGAGGTCAAATTGTCAGAACTTCTTGCACACTGTTAGTAGCTACTATGACCGACGTCCACAATGTGAACTGCTGAGCTGAGAGCTAAGAGGATGACAGGGAGTCTGAGCCCTGTTGCCACGTGATCGATGCTCCTTGTGTAAGGGGAGTCAGGATGTGGTTCTGGGTGACTGGATTACCGCCAAATTGTGCCATGCAGTTCTTATCCTCGATGACTGTGGCGAGGTGATACCAAAAGCGGCGAGCCTGAACGACGAGTCTGTGAAATGTGAGGTTGCTGTTGAGATAGGAAACAAATGATGGGGAAAATGAGTGCATTGACGGCAGTAGAGAGATGGTAATGAAAGCCTGGACAGAGCTCATTCCGAACCTGTCCTTCTCTTGGCTCGGCGTCAATCGACGGCTCAGTGAAATTGCAAATTTCTAGGTTTGAACAAGGAACGGTGTCGATAGCCTTGAATCTGCGGGTGCGTGGATGCAGCTTCCACGATATGGTCTGTAGGTCCGAAAGATGACCAGTGAGAGAGGCTCGGCCAGAGCCAAGCCGTAGCTGGAAGAAAGATTTGAGGTCTGACACAACCTGGAGATCGTGAGACAAAAGCGCTTATCGGAACGTTGGGAAACATGTGGCCGGTGTACAGTAAATCGTGGCCAAGGAATATGTGTGGATAAGTGTTACGAGTGCAATTGAGCGAGCGAGCTAGAATTGCACTATCTAAGCAAAACAATACAATGAGCCAAGGAATGAGCGATGAATATATAGCAAAGCTAGCGTGGTAACGGTAACGCGAGAAATGGGGTGCGCTACGGGCCTAGTGCCGAGGTTGGGGGATGTCGAGGCGGAGGTCCGGAACGCGGGTTACCAACCAAACCGTGAGGTTGGGTCGCATCGTGAACAGTGGCGGGAGTCAGGGTCGAGGCGAGTGTTGCGAGCGGGTAACGTTTCACTGTTGGATGCCAATGGCGGGAATGGTCATGTATGCAGTAGGCAGGGACGCGAAGTAAGGAAAATGGTTTTTCCTTATACTACCCCCCTCCCCAAAGGGGCCCTCCTTACGAGAGCGCGTATACATCTCGAAAGTTTCGGCTGCGCAGGTACTCGGTGAGGACAGAGTGGTTTTCGAATTTATCCAGGGGGGTCATTTGTCTTCGGTGGGCGTGCGGTCTTTCCAGCGGATCGGGAATTCGATCCTGCGGGCTCCCTGTGGGTCACAAACTCTGTTGCTCATTATTTTTTCAGGCGTGATGATTGGCTCTGTCGGCGGTCATGTCATGCTGGCGGGGTGGTGGCGAGGCAGTTGGCTGGTGGATGGGATGTACGGGCAAAGCAGGCTGACGTGGAACGATGCGCTGACGTACGGGTCAGCGGGGAGGAGGAGGTGGGCGGTGACGGAGGTGATTATGTGGCTGATGCGAAATGGCCCGCAATATCGGGGGCGGAGTTTTGGAGTGATGGGTAGACGGAGATTTTGAGTGTCGAGTAATACCAGGTCGTCGGGTTGGTAAGTGACAGGGCGGCGGTGCCGGTCGGCGTCGCCCTTAGCGATGACGTTTGATTTTATTATTGCTTCTGCTGCTCGGGTCCCTGCTGCCTGTAGTATTTCCGCGAAGTGTTGTGCACGTGGTACTGGGTTGTCGGGATTCGGGGTCATGGGTACTGTGGGTTCTTGTCCGTAGTTCAGATAAAAGGGTAACTGTTGGGTCGTGGCGGATGGCGAGTTGTTGTATGCGAACTCGTTGAGTGGCAATTGCTGTTCCCACGTAATCGTCGCGTCGCACATGGCTCGGACGAGCTGTTCCATGGTCTGTCTGTCCGTCGGTTTCGCGGTGGTACGATGAACTTGTCAGAACATATAGCTTACCTGTTTGTGTAGGCTACAGTGGGGTATCCCATAAGGGGTACAACACAATTAGGTTTCCTATTTGTACTCATTCTTGACTTAGTCAATTCATTCCTCTTCTCACTGTTTCACATGGTATAGAGCTAGGTCCCTCCAGGACCGATTTTTTGGGCCCACCGAAGCGCGCCCAGAGGCGCGATTTTTTTAGCGACCCCTCGAGTCGCCCTCTCCCCTGCGGCCTCCCCGCCCACTCTGTCGCGGCCCCGCCCTGACCCTTACGCGGCCACGCCGCCTGCTCCTTACGCGGCCCCGCCCCCGGCCCTTACGCGGCCCCGCGCCGGCTCCTACGCGGCCCTTACGCGACCCCGCGCCGGCCCCTTACGCGGCCCTTACGCGGCCACGCCGCCGGCTCTCACGCGGCCCCGCAGCTGGCTTCTACGAGGCCCCGTCCCGGCTCCTACGCGGCCCCGTCCCCGGCTCCTACTCGGCCCCGCGCCGGCCCTTACGCGGCCTCGCCGCCGGCTCCATCGCGGCCCTGCCCCGGCTTCTACGCGGCCCCGTCCCCAGCCCCTTACGCGGCCCCGCCGCAGGCTCCTACGCGGCCCCGCCGCCGGCTCCTACTCGGCCCCGCGCCGGCCCTTACGCGGCCTCGCCGCCGGCTCCATCGCGGCCCCGCCCCTGCTCAGACACGGCCCTGTCCGCCGGCCCCTTACGCGGCCCTGCCGCCGACCTCTACTCGGCCCTGCGCCGGCCCCTACGCGGCTCGGCCGCCGACTCCATCGCGGCCCTGCAGCCGGCTCCAACGCGGCCCTGCCCCGGCTCCTACGCCGGCCCTAACGCGGCCCCGCCCTGGTTCTCTCACGCGACCCCGCCGCCTCACCTGCAGCAGTCGGGCAGCAGGGCCGCCGAGCCGCCCAGGAGCCGAGCCGCCCTGCACCCGAGCCGCCCTGCACCCGAGCCGCCCTGCAGCCGAGCCGCCCGGGAGCCGAGCCGCCCTGCACCCGAGCCGCCCTGCCGCCGAGCCGCCCGGGAGCCGAGCCGCTGTACACACGAGCCGCCCGGTCGCCGTTCTGCTTGTCTGTCGAGCTGCACGGCCTGCCCTGCCTGGTGAGCACAGTCCCTCTGTCACTGCGCCCTCTTTCCCTACTGCTTGCACTACTTCGCTGTAGTCATCATGGCCACCCCTAGTGTCCTAGCCTTTGACGCCGAGGGTCGCGCCATTGATTTTGAGGTCTGGCTGGACGACCTGCAGCTTTTCTTACAGTGCGACAAAGCTGACAGCCTTTCTCTCTTTGACCTCACCTCTGGCGCCTCTCCTGCTCCTGCTGCCGATGCTGATCCCACTGTCCGCTCTCAGTGGGCCACCCGCGATGCTGCTGCACGTCTTGCTGTGCGTCGCCACCTCCCTACCTCTGAGCGTGCACACTTTAGTCAGTACAAGAGTGCTCAGACCTTGTACGACGCTGTAGTTGCGCGCTACTCCTCCCCTGCCACTGCTGCACTGAGCCGTCTCATGCTTCCCTACCTCTTTCCTGACCTCTCTGCCTTTCCCACTGTCGCTGACCTCATTACGCACCTCCGCACTAGTGACACTCGCTACCGCGCCGCCCTTCCTGCTGAGTTCTGCGCTAAGAACCCCCCCCCCATGTACATCACTCTCTACTACGTAGTCGCGCGCCTCCCTGACTCCCTCCGTGTAGTCAGGGACCACTTTCTCGCAGTCTGTCCCACCACTCTCACCGTCGACCTCCTCGAGAAGGCCCTCCTCGCAGCGGAGAAGAGCATAGTCGCTGTAGGTGCCTCTCGTGGTGACCCTCGCACCCCCATCTTTGAGGGGTGCTCTCCTTCCCCCTTGCTGCCCTCTGT